CCCCAGTTTGACTGGGATAAGAAGGTGCTCAAACATAAGTTGCTCGATGGCCGAACTGTCAGATTGACCAAGTTCAAGGCCAGTAGCATTATAGATACCTACGGCTGCTTGTGCGCATCAGCGTTTTACAACTACTATAAGCAAAACCAAGAGGAGGGTATGTACCTTATATGTCTCTGAGAAAGTGGAGGCCGTTAAAACACCCCCAGAGATAGAACGCGTCGTTGCTAAGTTATTTGATCTGTTCGAGGAGCCCACAGGAGTTGTTGAAAGGGAAGTTGTCCACGCTATAGAAATCATTCCAGGGAGTAAGACCCCAAAGGGAAGGATCTATAGGATGGCTCCCGCCGAGTTAGATGAACTTCGGCGACAGCTTAAGGAGCTGACAGAGAAGGGATGGATTCGGCCTAGTACTTCCCCTTACGGATCACCCGTTCTATTCGTGCCGAAGAAGGGGGGTACTTTGAGGATGTGCATTGACTATAGAGGCCTCAATGCCATCACAGTGAAGAACGCAGAGCCTCTACCTCGCATAGACGACCTATTGGATAGGGTGCAGGGATGCAAGTACTATAGTAAGATAGGCTTGAAATCCGGATATCATCAGATCGCAATAAGACCCGAGGACCAACACAAGACAGCCTTTCAGACCAGATACGGTCTGTATGAGTTTGTAGTGATGCCCTTTGGTCTTTGCAATGCGCCGGGTACAATCCAACACGCTATGAATCGGATCTTCCATGACCATTTAGATAAGTTTGTCGTGGTATACCTTGACGATATTCTGATCTTTAGCAAGTTTGCCGAGGAGCATGCAAAGCACGTTGAGACTGTACTCTCACTCCTGCGACAGTACAAGTATAAGGTCAACTTAGAGAAGTGTGAGTTCGGTCGCACTAAGATACTATACTTTGTTCATGAACTATCTGCGGAAGGGATTAGGCCGGAGGATGCGAAGGTGGCTAGTATTCGAGACTGGCCACAACCTCATACTCTCATTGAGGTCAGATCTTTCTGAGGAATGTGTGGCTACTATTAAAACGTCGTAAACAACTATTCTACAGTCGCCTCTCCTTTGATTGATCTAACTCGACTTGACACGCCGTGGGACTGGAGTGATGAGTGCGAGGGTGCTTTCATGAGAATGAAGCATGCACTCATGAATCGTGAGGTTCTCATGGTTCCCGATCCTCGTAAGCCATTCATAGTGACCACTGACGCAAGCCAATATGACATTGGCGCAGTGCTGGCTCAACAGGATGGGAAGAAGTTGAGACCGATTGAGTATATGAGCAAGAAGATGCCATCAAAGAAGTCAGCAAAGTCCACCTATGAAAGGGAACTCTATGCTCTATATAAAGCACTTGTCCATTGGAGACACTTCCTATTGGGAAGGTTCTTCTACTTGAGGACTGATCATCAGACCCTCAAATGGATCAAGACTCAACCGGCTCTTTCTGATGCACTCAAGCAATGGATTGTGGTCATAGACCAGTATGTGCTAGTTTTTGACTTTGGCGTATCTTCTGAAGTAACTCAATCGTTGGTGGGAGCCTATCAGGAAGACCCTGTCACGATGGACATCATTCGCAAACTTCAGGCAAAAGACAAGGCCACGGGATGCGAGTTTGTGATGGTGGACGGGCTCCTCTATCTTGATAAGGCCGAAATAAAAAGATTAGTAGTTCCATCTAGTGAACCTTTGCGTAGTTTGTTCTTAGGAGAATGCCATGACGCAACGGGACACTTCGACTACAAGAAGACGAGTGCTAACCTAGTACAACGATTTGGTGGCCAGGAATGTTAGATGAAGCGAAGAAGTACGTAGAGACCTGTCAGGTCTGTCAGCGGGACAAGCCGCGAACTCAAGCACCGCTTGGGTTGTTGAAGCCTTTGCCTATTCCTGCTGGTCCAGGACAGAGTGTTTCCATGGATTTCATGGACACCCTGGTGACTAGTAAGAGTGGCAAGAGGCACATCTTCGTCATCATCGATCGATTCACCAAGTACGCTAGACTAGTGGCTATGCCAGAGACCGCAAGAACTGACTATGTCATCAAGTTGTTCAAAGACAACTGGGTGCGTGACTTTGGTTTACCAAAGTCAATCGTTAGTGTCCGAGATGTCTGATTCACAAGTGAGTTGTGGAAGAAGACTGCAGAACAGATGGGCAGTCAACTCCAGATGACTTCAGGGAATCATTCCGAAGCCAACGGACAAGCCGAGCAAATGAACAGAGTTGTACAACACTTGCTGAGGCATTACATCAAGCCCAGCCAGGATGATTGGGATGAGCAGTTGCCTCTCATCACGAGCCTGTACAACAATGTTGTCCACAGCAGTACCGGCGTTAGTCCTAATCAACTTCACTTGGGATGGAAGCCTAGATCAGCATTAGACTTCCTCCTATCTGAAAACCGACCCGCTGCAACTCCAGGCACACTTGAGTATGGTGTGCAGTATGAGAAGTTGCTGCAAGAAGCTGTCGAGCACATGAAGAAAGTTCAGCAAGCAATGATTGTTTCTGAGAATCAACACCGTAGACAGTCCACATTTCAGGTAGGGGAACGTGTTTGGGTCAAGGCTAGTGAAATCGCACAGGAATTCGGAATCTCTCACAAACTAATGCCTCAGTACTTCGGTCCCTGGGAAGTCCTGGATATAGTGGGAGATGAGATGGATGGTCCCACATATGTCATTCGTGTCCCTGGACACCTACGTACTCACCCAGTCTTTCATGCCTCAAAGCTTGCACCTTTCGCTGAGACAGATCAATTCCCTTCCAAGAGATTGATGCTGCCCCCAACCATGGATGGTCAAGTGGACATTGACGACATTGTGGATCACAGGGATATGCCTGTTCCGAAGCCGCTGGGTCGAGGAAGACCTCCTAAACCCAAGAGAGAGTATCGCGTCAGATTCAGGCATCATACGGATCCAAAAGAAGATCGGTGGTTTACCAGAGAGGAACTGATTGAGACAGCTCCTCAGGTGGTGGCAGATTACGAGAGAATGCTGAAAGGGAAGGCACCTGCGAAGTAAGCATCTCGGCGGACTTTCGAAGCTAAGGGGGATGGAATGTGAAGATTGAGCCCTCAAGAAGGGGCCTTGCCATGACGTACATGTTCTGGGCTAAGGCCCCAGCAAGCCTAGTGCCCTTAAGTGAAGGCGGGCCAGCAAATCAACAAGAGCCCTCTGTGCAAACATTTCCCGAAGTGGGGTCCATACAGTTGCAGCACGCCAGTTGGTTGGAGNCGAAGTGGGGTCCATACAGTTGCAGCACGCCAGTTGGTTGGAGTGCACCGAGTCTCGAATCTCTGCAAATGTGGAGAACCCAGGGCCTCTTGAGTTAGTTAGGCCCTGGGCACTTGAATGTGAGGCCGACAATGCATGCTGGGTATAGTGGCCGAAAATGCCAAAGGGAAATCGGCGCACTATCTGAATCTGGCCGCTGGCGTTGACGAAAGAGGCACAACTGCATCACCCGGGCCCCAACTGCATCGCGCCTGGGTTCAGGCACTGGGGCCCAGTCGCAGGCTGAAGGGAGGCCGCCCACACGCAGCATTGGCATATAGGCAAGCAGGGCGAGTGGGCAGGATTCTTGGCCAATGCAGGCATTGTGGGCACGCTGCGCTAATGCGAAGTGCCCGCTGTGCAGAGCTGCGCTGCGCTGGGATGAGGCAGGCTAGCGCTAGGC